CGTTAGATTGTTTTATCTCTGGCAGTCGTTTTAAATGTTTATCCTTCGTCGGATGACGGATCATAAAATGTTCAGTACATGATCCCCTTCTGTTTTGGAGGGGTACGTAAGTCCCAAAACATTCAAGCAAATTAAAACTCTCCACTTTTTTAATCGTAGAATATGTGTGATTTAAATATAGGGCTAGATTTGTCTCAATTGCTAAAGGCTGAAGGGATGATGTAAATCCACCTAGGGCCCATGCAGGAAGCAAATGTACTGTAAGTCCGCATGGTCCCTAGTATGGTGATCTACCTTCAGTTGTTGGCAATCTATAGCCTGTTTTTATATTGTATTGTCATCTATAGTTAAACTGTTTTAGATTTAATTACTAGTTTTAAAATTCGATTCTGTGATAATCTAGTTATTTTACTGTCCTTCGTTGACAGGTTTTTATAATTTACCATTAATTACTATGTATAACAATTAATTGTTCACGTCACGATATGGCTGAAGTATTGCCGATGTGACGATAATTTTAACTCACTCACTCACTGTTTTTGTAGAAGATGTAACGGTTGTTGGATATGCGGATCTGAAATGATCGCCTTTGAGAACATTGAAAAACGTAACTTCAAGAGAAAGGAAATCTTGGGTTCTGGTACACCTATTGGACACAGAATCGTGTCCTCTTAGGTTATACGACCCGTGAAGATCCGGGTAGGATTTGGTCTTGAGCAACCCATGCTTGATGTAAGAGGCGACTAACGGGACCGAGTGGTCAGGCTCGCTGACTTGGCTGACACATGTCATCGTGTCCCAGTTGCGCAGATCGATGATCATGCTGTTGATCACTGGTTTGTCTGGTCCAGACTCGATCATTTTCAGACCGCCGCCAAACAGTTGGAATATTGCCGAGTGTTAAACACGAAACATACAAACATTTTATGTTACACCAGGCGTTGTCACAGCACTGTCGATGTCTTAAATATGCAACTCATTCAAAATACTCACTGTCAAGAACTCTTCACAGAAAAAGTATTTATTTTTAACAGAGCTATTTCAGATTACTAATCTCACGGAGCATGCATTAGTCCACAAGGACGTGAACATAGAGGAAGCATAAATGTCAACAAAAGCCTATTAGTATATTATTCATGCTTGAAGAAGTTCAACACAGTCTTAACTTATATTTTCTTGATCATGTATTCGAAATACAATATGGAAGAACAATGAGAACTATGTACATCCGTGTCCATCATTTTAACCCTGTCACGCTAAACTGTATTTCCATCCGGGTCTCTAGACGCCACATAATGTGACGCATCTATGTGGGCATGTGTGTAGTACTAAGGTGAATAGATTTCTGATACTGTTAATGACTGGGTTGAGGGGTGGGTAGCCTAGTGGTTAAAGCGTGCGCTCGTAACACCGACACCCGGGTTCGGGTCCCACATGGGTACAATGTGTGAAGCCCGTTTCGGGTCTCCCCGTGGTAATATTTCTGTAATATTTCTAAAAGCGGCGTAAATCTAACTCAGTGAATGATTTGACTTACAATGTGTCTAATACTTACTCTTGTAGATCCGTTAGTGGACATTATGCATCTCCAACAGGTGCTTGGTGTGGAAACAAGGAGCCCGGTGGATTAAGATACTGCAATTCCTTGAGAGTTAAGCTATCCCAGAAACTTGGGGTCGAATCTGAGATTCCGATTAAAACAAAATTTTAATTCCCTGAACGTTCGTTGTCGAATACAATCTTAATTTCTTAAGTTCTATTTATGAAATATTCATTTCCCTAAGAGCATAAGTGGTCCAAAGTGATGAAAAACTGTCTTTGGCCATGAATGTTCATTTACCGTATTTAATCTACAGACAGGCCGACAGACAGTACTGTAAGACATCCGGCCCATAAAACATGGGGCAGTGAAAACAGTGGATCCGCACATAAAATACACGGGTGTGTATAAGGTGATTTAACTCGTGGAAGTATTAAAGCTGTAAAATATCCTTATATGCATGCAAATACACCGGCACGCCACTTTCGCAATGCCATTGAATGTTCAAGTTGTATGTTCATCGAAACATTTTACACGCACGCACGCACGCATGCACGAACACACACACACACACACACACACACACACACACACACACACACATATATATATATATATATATATATGTATATACAGACATGTGTGTGTGTATATATATAATATATATGATATATATTTGAAAAAAGAAAAATGAAATCGTTACTCTCAATATGGACTCGAATAATACGTGCGTATGTGTGTTCGTACGTGAGCGCGTACGTATGAGTTTAAAATGGCGAGCGTATCGTTGGCACAGCCTTGTATGAGAGATAGACATTATTTATTCAAGTCTCACCCGATACGATACATTGTTAAAATACACTCCGCATCCCGTGTACATTCACCCCCAATTACCCCTTACCCTAACCACCTCACTCTCACATTATACTACACTGTTAAACCCACTCACACCTTTAACTCAACACACACAACATATAAATGCTAAATGCCTACAAATGTATGTCCCAACAGGTAAGACATAGTCGACGTAAGCTTCCGAAAATAGCCGCGGAACTACGTAACTTGAACTAACAACAGGGCGCCAGGGATGACCACAGTCACTATTTTGTCCATGACCCATTTACGTATTGTCCCATAACATGATCTAGTCATGTAGGGGACACCTCACTGTGCCCAGCGGGTCTGTTATCTACACACGAGCCGGACATGGTTGGAGGACTATGACAGAAAGACATGGTTGGAGGACTATGACAGAAAGACATGGTCGGAGGAGTATGACAGAAATACATGGTTGGAGGACTATGGCAGAAAGACATGGTTGGAGGACTATGACAGAAAGACATGGTTCGAGGACTATGACAGAAAGACATGGTTCGAGGATATGACGGTATATGATGCAGAAACAGTAACGACAGGACTTGTTACATGTGGATGGTAACGACAGGACGCGCTATGAGGACTGTAACGGCAATGCATGTGACCGGTTTGGTGACGGCAGGACATGTTACGGGGCTGTAATGACAGGAGAAGTACGGGTACTGTAATGTCAAGACATGTTACGGGGGCTGAAACAGTAGGACATGTTACGGGTACTGTGACGTCAAGACATGTTACGGGGGCTGTAACGACAAGATACGTTAGGGGGTCTGAAACAACAAGACATGTTACGGGGCTGTAACGGTAGGACATGTTACGGGTACTGTAACGACAAGACATGTTACGAGGGCTGTAACGACAATACATGTTACGGGGCTGTAACTGTAGGACATGCTACGAGGTCTGTTACGTCAAGACATGTTAGGGGGCTGTAACGACAAGACTTGTCACGGGGCTGTAAGGACAAGACATGTTATGGGTACTGTAATGTCAAGACATGTTACCGGGGCTGAAACAGTAGGACATGTTACGGGTACTGTAACGACAAGACATGTTACGAGGGCTGTAACGACAAGACATGTTACGGGGCTGTAACGGTAGGACATGCTACGAGGTCTGTTACGCCAAGACATGTTAGGGGGCTGTAACGACAAGACATGTTACGGGGCTGTAACGGCAAGACATCAAGACATGTTATGGGTACTGTAACGACAAGACATGCTACGAGGTCTGTAACGTCAAGCAATGTTACGGGGGCTGAAACAACAAGACATGTTACGGGTACTGTAATGTCAAGACATGTTACCGGGGCTGAAACAGTACGACATGTTACGGGTACTGTAACGACAAGACATGTTACGAGGGCTGTAACGACAAGACATGTCACGGGGCTGTAACGGTAGGATTATGCTACGAGGTCTGTTACGTCAAGACATGTTAGGGGGCTGTATCGACAAGACATCAAGACATGTTATGGGTACTGTAACGACAAGACATGCTACGAGGTCTGTAACGTCAAGCAATGTTACGGGGGCTGAAACAACAAGACATGTTACGGGTACTGTAATGTCAAGACATGTTACCGGGGCTGAAACAGTACGACATGTTACGGGTACTGTAACGACAAGACATGTTACGAGGGCTGTAACGACAAGACATGTCACGGGGCTGTAACGGTAGGACATGCTACGAGGTCTGTTACGTCAAGACATGTTAGGGGGGCTGTATCGACAAGACATGAAGACATGCTACGAGGTCTGTAACGCCAAGACACGGTACGGAGGCTGTAACGTGAGTGAGTGAGTTCAGTTTACGCCGCACTCAGCAATATTCCAACTATATTTCGGCGGTTACGACAAGACATGTTACGGGTACTGAAACGTCAAGACATGCTACGAGGTCTGTAACGACAAGACATGTTACGGGTACTGTAACGTCAATACATGCTACGAGGTCTGTAACGACAAGACATGTTACGGGTACTGTAACGTCAATAGATGTCATGAGATGTGTAACGTCAATAATGTTACGAGGTCTGTAACGGTAGGACATGTTACGGGTACTGTAACGTCAATACAATTCATAATTAATCATAATGTGACATAATTAGTCTCACTTTCATAATTTGTTTACGTACATTTATTCATCGCAAACAGAATTGTGTCGTGCCCGTTCGCCATTGACGATCTTGGCCTTAACCTGCCTTCATAGCAAATGGGTACCCGGAAGGGTGATAGAAGGAGCTTTTGACAAGTTTTGGGTTAACAGTGTACGTACTTGAAACGGACCAATAAACCAATAAAATCTAATCAAAACCATTCAAATCGTCTCAAACACGAATGTGTCGATTTACAGAAGGATGCCTAGCCAAACAATCTAATGGCAAAGAGTACCTGCAGGTTGACCTGCTGACTCAGCATAACGTGACCAGCTACTCAGTCCAGGGCAGCAGGAATGGATGGTACCCAGGAGCAGTGCTACTGTTCTACAGTCAGGATGGTCTTGTCAGGGAGAGCTACGTCACCAGCAATGGGACACAGAGACTGCCAGGGACACCAAACGCCAGGGATGTCGTCACAAACGACTTAAATCCAGCTGTACAGGTTTGTTTGTTGTGTAACGCCCCACTCAGTAATATTCCAGCTTTATTGCGGCGGTCTGTAACACAATCCAGTCTGGACCAGACAATCCAGTGATCAACAGTATGAACATCGATGTGCGCTATTGGGATACGATGACATGTGTCAACCAAGTCAGCAACCCTGACCACCCGATTACGTTAGTCGCCTCTTACGACAAGCATGGGTTACTGAAGATCAATTCTAACCCGGATCTTTATTGGTCAGCTGTACAGGTTGGAGTGGTACCATTTAATCCTCAAACTCGTTATTTATAGTCAGTGATGATAGTTCCAGGTTTCTGTCAGCGGTTAGTTACATAAAATTCTTCTTCATAGCTATGTACATATATCGTCTTGCACATGTTTTTCATTCCCCTAATTTTACGGAGACATGTGCAAATAGAGAGAAAGGACATTAGTTCAGTGAGTAATGAATTCATTTCACACCACAAATCAAATAATCCTACATGTGGCCCTAAGATTTACATAAGGTAGCACAGTCAATTGACATCAAGGTACGACGAATTACAGACCTTCATAAATTGGGGCTGTCTCGATAATCTTACTCGATCTCATCCAATCACATGACCTATATCAGTTCCGTCCTCATGAGAGAACAAAAAGTAAAGCATACAGAACGGAGATACACGGTTATAGTAGGCTATCGTTATAGGTGAGTGAGTGAGTTTTGTTTTACGCCGCTTTTAGCAAAAATCCATGAATATGACGGCGGGGGACACCAGCCCTTATTATAGTACCATAATCTCTCTGAAGCATGAAGTAACCAGTTTGTCGTGATTCTGTGTAATGTTCTTCAACCCTGACTCCACGTGAATGTCCTGTAACGATGTCTTTGATATATATATATATATATATATATGTGTATATAGTTTGTTCAGGCCAGGTACTTAGCATTTGTACCTCAACGCAATAGGTACACCAGTAGTCAAGGCCTGCGACTGGAGTTGCATGGATGTGAGGCACAACAACCAATCCCCGTCAGAAGCACCCCTGTCTCCCAGGACATACAGGTAAGCAGGGACCATGAAGAATATTAATAAATACAATTGCCATCAATGAAAAAGGCTCTAAATTTATTTATCATATTATTAAAATCTATACAGATATGTCTACATTTCCAGTTTTGCAAAGGAAAACCCAACAGATTTAAATATAATTTTGAAAAACATTTATCTGGTTGAAGAATTCTTGGCATTAAAAAAATATCCCAATGAAGACTTTTCCATATGAATGGTCTGATCTACGTGAAGTATTTAGCGAAAGCTTAACAGCTTAAAGAAGTAAGCTACATGTACGCACAAGATCATTATGTCATATAAGTGAAGAAGTGACTAAGCACATGGTCATTAAGTCATATAAGTGAAAAGTAGCTAAGCACATTGTAATAACTAGGTCAGTTGTGTTTCAGTGCTTTATTCTTGCCGTCTTAGTTTCTTGATCTATTTTTCTTTAATGCTAAGTTTACAAATGCAGATTGACTGGAAGAGATGAAAATCTATTTCAATATCTAACCATGGGGAAATTCAAGGTCAACCAAAAATAAATATCAGCGAACTTCTCAATTAATGTAACATATTAAATATATAATGGAATATTGCATTTAAAAGGTAATTACGTTATGCTTGAGGAAAAGTGTAACTGGCTTACTATGGTTTTAGGCCACTTTACGCTTGCTTCGGGACTAGACCATGTGCGTGCTGAGAGCACATGGCATGAAATGCATGACCCAAGCTTTACCTCCCCTTGACAGATATTGAAGGGTAAGTCTTGGCTCATTAATCAAAAATTTAAATCTTAAATGAAATGGGAATGATAAAATTTTGAACATAAAAGAAACGAAAACTTATTCTCTTTGAGAAAATGGATTTCGACCACTACGCACATGATCATTAAGTCATATAAGTGAAAAGTAGCTAAGAACATGATGATCATTACGTTATATAAATGAAGAAGTATCTAAGTACATGATCATTAAGTCATATAAGTGCTGCCTTTGTCCACATTGTATAGTTTGTCTCGTTTATGTAATTGCTCCTAAACCTAAAGCATGAACATCAAGAAACTCATGTTCATCTTACAGCAACATCCGCTAATCTGCATTTGCAGCAGCATCGACATCGATATCAATATAATATAAGGGCCGGTGGGGTAGCCTAGTGGTTAAAGCATTCTCTCGTCATTCCGAAGACTCGGGTTCGATTTCCCACATGTTTACAATGGGTGAAGCCCATTTCTGGTGTCCCCCGCCGTAAATTGCTGGAATATTGCTGAAAGCGGCGTAAAAATAAACTCACTCACTCACACAATCCAAATCAAGCCATCTCATCATCCAATCAATATTTCAGGGAAGCAATGAGTGGTTACCCAGCCAGAGTCCATATGTCATCAACACTCTCATCAGGATTCGTCCAGGAGCATTCGTCAAAATACAGCACGGAGTCAAGGTTATATTCAATTCTTAAGACGCAGGATTCACCGTTCTTGGTAAGGATACACGGAGATGCAATCATATATCTGATACCAACTTTAGTTATCACAGGTGGTTTTCCTAACTTGTACTTAAAACAAACAGTTCACCTTCAATGGTACCATCTTAGGTCTGTGACAAAATCATTAACAGGTTCTGCCTGAAAGTATCTACAGCTGTAAACCAGCGCTTGGTGTTGTGTGTCTCAGTGCTGTCATAATAAAATGTGGGAAAACTGGGACAATTGGAAACATAGTGTTATCATTGAATACTACTTGGAATATGTTTATTTCAGGTACATTGGAGGCCCAACGTCTCAGTGGACTACCTGTGGTTTTCACACCTTCAAATGCCTTCACAAATTTGACAAACATGTGGGCAGGCATTGAAGTTGTCAGTCAAGGTATATTTTATATGTGTGGTCTTACCGGTGGAGCGGTGGGGTAGCCTAGTTGTTAAAGCGGTCGCTCATCACACCGAAGACCCGAGTTCGATTTCCCACATGGGTCCAATGTGTGAAGCCCATTTCTGGTGTCCCACGATGTGAAGTTGGTGGAATATTGCTAAAAGCGGCGTAAATATAAACCTAATCACTCACACGTAGGGGTATTTAAATTCTCGGCAACAAGAACCAACCTCTATACCAACAGATGTTCTGTCTGTTTTCAGTTTGCCCGAAGGTTCCTATAGTGCTTGCCACCAAGCAACTAATGGATTCCTAGAATCCAACATGACGATACACATGGTCACTTTGGTAAACATACTCAAATGTGAATTTGTATTATCACTCACTTTGGGTATGCCTAAATACAAATAGTTAATCGTGAAAGTTCCTGCGCAGTTTGGGTATTTCTAAATACAAATGGTTAATTGTGAAAGTTCCTGCGCAGTTTGGGTATTTCTAAATACAAATAGTTAATTGTGAAAGTACCTGCGCAGTTTGGGTATTTCTAAATACAAATGGTTAATTGTGAAAGTTCCTGCGCAGTTTTGGTATTTCTAAATACAAATAGTTAATTGTGAAAGTTCCTCCGCAGTTTCAAGAATGTGCAGTCATAAGCTTATTTATGGAGTTCATGCTTTAATATGGAATCATTGGTTTATATTGCACCAGTGTGGTAAGTAATCAGTGTCTCGTTCTGCTATAAGATGCTCTTTTCTAATTCATATTAAGCCACCCTTAACTGACCCAAACTCAGATTAAAACATTTCTTCTGAATTAACCAGATGTTTAAAGCTGTAATAAAGGTGACTATGATAACAACAAAGATCTCTCTTCCGATTCACTTTCCGTACGTGGAGTTTTTACATTTTTCTGCCAACTACATCAAGTTTTCATGAATTCCTCCATTGCAAGATGATGTACATTATGATGTGTCCTTGTGTGAGCCTGTTTTTAACTTGCAAGAAATTTGACTTTGGAATTCAGCCATATATATGGAGCAGATGTCGGCATCAAAGGAGCTCTCCGATCCATAGCTACAAGACACTGCAACATCCACCACAACGACAGAGGAATATATCTTGAGATGGGGATACAGTCCAACACAGAATTCAAATCTCAGGAACCATCATATCAGACAACACCCAAGAGGGCATATATGGAAGTAATTGGCCTCAAGAGAATTCCTATATCGGTGTGGAAGATAGTGACATCTTGCGTAATAGAAGGAGTGGTAAAGGCTTTTACACAGAAGCTGTGCTATTTGCTCATAACTGTAGATTGTCTAATAATTTCTCGGTATATATCACTATTTTGTAGAAGGGGATCATGTACTGAACATGTTATGATCCCTCATCAGACAAAGGATCAGCATCCAAAACGATAACGATGTAACGCCCAACACACCCAAACCAATGCCTGTAAAAATATGTAATTCCTCCTTGCAAATGAATCACAAACACGCAACCACACCCTAGCTATCTCTTTCCATATCGACAAAAATATATATCAGAAATGCTTGTTCTTACATGCATTTTTATTCTCTGTTCTTGGGCTAACTTCTTGGGCGGTCGAGTAGCCTATCGGTGATAGCGTTGGTGTTCCGCGCCGAAGACCAAGGTTCTACTCCCCACATGGGTACAATGTGTGAAGGCCATTTCTGGTGTTCCCCACCGTGATATTGCTGGAATATTGATAAAAGCGGCGTAAAACCATACACACTCACTCACTTGGGCTAACAAGATCGAAGAGAACAAATAACAACATTGTGTTACGGGTACGTTTGTAAGTATCAGGAACAAACCAATATATTATAGGTTCTGTCATATGAAATGGCTGCCACAGATATCAGTCGAGACACAGTTCTTGACTGAGGCTCCCTCACTCACCCATAATGTATCGGTATACCTTTGAGCATACATAGCTATAAATGTAATGTTTCTTTTCTTTATATGTATACCTGTCTGTTTCTGTTTCTTTTCTTGAAGGCATCGATTTTTCCGTTTCTGCTGGGTTGCAGAGTCTCAGTTGAGCGTACATACTTCTAGCAATCGGGATGAACATTGTTCTGCCTGGACTTTTGCTTCTGTTTGCTCTTTTTGAGCTGGCTTCGCCCGGTGAGTTGACCATCTTTTTTTATTGTCATAGTTTGAGAAAAAATAGTCGAATAATGCTTAATCATAAAGTTGAAAATATGCCCCTAGTCGACTTATTCAGTAAATGCGTCCCATCTTTTTCTTTACACAGAGGCGAATCTTTTTTCGTAAAGACTGCACTTTTATATCTTTCATTTGTCCTTTATTGAAAGATATTTGTAGCTTCAAGGAATGGACAACTGAATGGGCGGCGGTTATCTCAAAGGAACTGGGTTTTATTCTATCCTAAGATTATATACCTGAAACACCTACCTTATCATCTGATATCGTCAAATATAGAAATATGACTGAAATGAAAATATGTATATATTATTACATGGTAATGTAACTACAATTTATTGTTGCAAAATGTTCTAATCATATTATATGTATTCCGGAAAGATTCCGTAAAAGTTCTTAACTTTGTGTTTCAAAAATAATTAGCTGTCAGGAATGTGTTTCCATCTATGTAAGCACTGGTGTGGAAGCTATTATGCTTGATGCTTCAATATTTCTATTTTTCGTTGACATCATCATAGATTTCAGGGTTAACTTTGTTTAGTAGTCAACGTTTATGAATATGAGAAATTCAGTCACCCAAGATGTTATAACCACATGTTTGTAATAATATTTTTAGTACATCCAGCTTGGATCAAAGCCTAGTTAATGTTCAAATATTAGAAAATTATGTTCACTTAATAGAAAGAATCGTCATATATGAGCGTTTCTGTCATAGTTAATCCTTGTCAATGCATTTAGTGTTGTCATACGAAGCATGCAATTGTTGAATTGACCAAAATGCCGTTCCTATTCCTGTCCTATGCATATATTTCAGAACAATGTCTTGAACAAATTCTTGCTAAATTCTTATAATAACATGTTGATCCTGTTTGGTAAAAAATGCACTTATTTGTACCTCAAAAAACGTCAAAAGTTTAGAATATATACGGATAATTACAAGTGGGCTGCTGTTGACGACAGCCTCTGGTGAATGTGATCGCATTCTAACTCAAAATCCCTCCAAGCATTTAGCTTTGCTTGATAAGTCTCCATATTTAAATTCCTTGTGGGGACTATACGTTGGAACGGTTAATTTTCTTACAAATCACCCAAAATGGGAACTTTTGTTGTTGATCATCACAAAGAAGGATCCTGATATGTAAAAATAATTAATGCACATATTATAAAACGTCAAAATTTTAGAACATATACGGATAATTACAAGAGGGCTGCTGTTGACGACAACCTCTGACAGCCTCTGGTGAATGTGATCGCATTCTAACTCGGAATCTCTCCAAGCAGCTAGTTTTGCTTGATAAGCCTTAAAAACTCTCCATGTTGTCATTCCTTGTGGGGACTATACGTTGGGACGGTTGGTTTTATTGCAATTCACCCAAAAAGGGAACTTTTCACAAAGAAGGAATGGAGTCAGATCAAACTCCTATAAACATAGAAACCTTCCATGGCCAGGAATGTGTTCCTATGTACCATTGCAATGTAATAACCATTATGTCAAGCACCCGAACACGGGTCCGGGTCTATCTTGTTTCCCTTTAGCTCAGATGACTCCATACTTTTTGCTTGAATGATTCAGGATTAGGCAACACAGGGTCCGTTGTCTGCAAACAGTTTCTGGAAATTGAGATGACCTGCAAACCTCATCTTCCTGTCAATCTGAAGTGTTTCAATCATACCACAAAACCATCGAAGCCTAAAGGTCAGTGACATGTTATGGTATCATTTTCAATTGTTACAACAAATGACAAGTGACAAAATCAATAATAATGGGATCTCAGAGGTCATGAATATCCTGCGGAACTACGTTCGTATTTAATTATCATACATTTTTTATGCAATATGTTCCAACAAACGTCTTAGAATAATGGGACATAACATAGTTAACATAGGAGTTATTTCATATTGGAGATGGATCATGGCTTGTTGGGCTAGTTTGAGAGACCATATGCAGCTGGTGAAGTAGAGGGAAGATCGTTGAGGGAGATATGTGACTGAAGTAGACGAAGGAAATGATTAGGAGGAACCAATAATGGGTTCGGTTGGAGGGCAATCCACGAAGTCACGGAGAGGGGGCAAACTAATGTAGTTTAGCGTGTCAAGTTGGGTAAATATTTTTGTTTGGTTTTAACACCGCAATCAGCAATATTCGAGCTATATGACAGCAATCGGGTCGGGGCCAGACAAACCAGTGATTGACGTCATGAGTATCGTTCTACGCAGTTGGGATACTATGACATGTGTCAACCAAGTCAGCAAGACTGATCAACATGGGTTGCTGACGATCAATTCTAACCCTGATTTTCAATGGAGGTTCGGAATTAGGTGAATGCAGAGTTGACACAAAAAAGGATGACCGCACTGAAAGCAAAGAAAGGCTATGAGAATAGGAATATTCTTAAAGGATAAACATGTTGCACTGATTACCGACGT